CATATAGCACCTGTTCCAAACCCCTAATCATTTTTGTTACCCTTCTCTGAACCTTTTCCAATGCCAAGATACCTTTTTTGAGATGAGGCGACCACATCTGTACACAGCATTCAATATGTGGGAGTACCATGGATAGAGGCACTAAGATGTTCTCTGTCTTATTCTCTATCCCCTTTTAATAGGATAGCTCTTCTTTACAAATATAGAATAGTTAATACAATGGGCCACGGGACCCACCTTTGGAAAAGGACCTGAGTGCAAATTCATCCAGGATAAAATAAATGTGATGTCTCTACCGGAGGCACTTGGCCCAGTGGCCTATTAGTAGCTCATTAGGAGCTGTTGTTGCTCATGCCAATGGCTATATGTGTTGTGCATGATTTTAATCCGCATTCCCAGCAGACAATGTAAATGCATCTGTGGGTTGGGAGGATACATAGCTATGAATGGTTAAGAGCAGAAAATTGGGATCCAGAGTTAAAGTACATGTGGAAACCAGAGGCTGGAGAGAGGCTGTTCTCAGTAGTGATGGATGGCAGAACAAGGAGCAATGGTCTCAAGTTGTGGCGGGAGACGTCCAGGTTGGATATTAGGAAAAACTATTTCACTAGGAGGGTGGTGAAGCACTGGGATAGGTTCCCTAGGGAAGTAGTGGAGTCTCCATCCCTAGAGATTTTTAAGTCTCGGCTTGACAAAGCCCTGGCTGGGTTGATTGAGTTGGGATTGGTCCTGCCTTGGGCAGGGGGCTGGACTTGATGACCTTCTAAGGTCTCTTCCAGCTCTATGGTTCTATGATTCTAGGTATGTGGCAACTTCTACTAATAGCACTTATTCCTAAGCACAGTCCTACTGTACCTCTGGCATGTGGTGTTTTCCACACACCCCTAAAACCAGCTGTGTTACAACAGAAATAATTATAGGCTCTTCAATCTGGCAGCATAAGCAGGAGTCCATTTCAGGCTGCAATAGGGCTTCCCGTTACTTGTTCAGGAGAACCTGGCAAGCAGGACAGGATGAAAGCAAAAGCCAACAAGACAATTTCCCAGTCTTGTAACTTTTAATTGCTCATCATAGTGACATTGATCTAATGAATTCCGAGACTGGGGAGAGCAATTAATTGCCGATTTTGAGCCATGCGGGGTACATCTTGCAGGGTGATAACAAGCAAGATAAGCAGCATGCAATCAAAGCCTGAGAATATTGCATTCTTGCTGAGATCACAGTCAAGAAATAAGCCACTGTGTCAAAAAGAAAACTGCAGAGTGTTTCTGACTGAGGGGTCTTCTTAGGGAACCCACCAGAATTGGGCGGCTGCATTTCAGTTGGCATCCCTCTTGCCTCTTAATACATATCCTATTTACATGCTACACATGGAATTAAAACAGAAATAGCATCACCTACCTGCCACAGTGGAAAGTGACAGCAGGAAACCACAGGGATAGGGAAAACATGAAAGGATGATCTCATTTAGGCAAAGGGGAAGTTAGAGGAATGCAAGCAGGAAAATCAACGTGCTAGCAGAGGCAGCCATGGGCAGAAAGCAGGTGTCAGTAAATGAGGACTGCCCAGCAGAATGAAGCAGAAATGCCTGTTTTCTTCCCCCACGGTTCGTAGTATACTTGCAAAACGAAGAGAGTCTGTGAAAAATCCAGAAAGGCGCAGCCTGTGAGAAGAAAAGTTTAGATCTTGATGCCAGCTCAGTTCCAGTCTCCTGGAATAGGGTAGTTAGGCTAAGTGTGCTTGTGCAGTTAGGATTTGCTGAGCCAAGTCTATGCCTTGAGCCAGGACTGTCCCTAAGGGGGCGCATGGCCAGGAACCTCCTCCACCCCATCCCAAGCCTTGCTCCTGCTCTGCCCCTGCCTATCCCCACTCCACCTTTCCCCCAAGCCCTACCCTAGTTCGAACTAGGGGGCAAGTGTAGACATACCCTAACAGAAAACCTCCATCTCTGCCACAAACAAACACAAAGTCTCCTTCCTCCTTCTCTGCTCTTTATAGGACTGTCCCTCTGCAGATGTCACAGTACGGCCAGTGCCCTGCACCTTCTGCATCTCCTGTGTTCCCTGCAAAATCTACCCCTTGCCACAGAACCAGCTCTACCATCAAACCCCTCATGAAAAACAAATGTACGCCCTTGTCCTACACTTAGGCCCATGCCTGCCTGGAAACATCATTCCAATGAAGTCACCAGGTACCGTTCCAATGGACCTGCCTATCATAGGGCACGTCTAGACTACATGGCTCTGTTGATGGAGCCATGTAGATTTGTTGACATGGCAAAGGGAAATGAAGTGGCCGCTTCATTTAAATTAAAATGGCTGCCATGCTGTGCCCATCAGCTGTTTGGCAGCACCGCGCTGTAGTCTGGATGCTCCACAGTCGACATCAAAGGATTTGTCGACCTCCCTGGTAAACCTCATCCCACGAGGCATAACGGGGAGGTCGACAGATGCCTTTGATGTCGACCGCGGCGCGTCCAGACTACAGCGCTGTGCCGCCAAACAGCTGATCGGCACCGCGCGGCAGCCATTTTAATTTAAATGAAGCGGCGATTATTTAAATCGCCGCTTCATTTCCCTTTGCCCACAACCCTAATCTACATGGCTCTATCGACGGAGCCATGTGGTCTAGATGTGCCCATAGAATCCCAGGGCTGGAAGAGACCTCAGGAGTCATCAAGTCCAGCCTCCTGCGCAAAGCAGGACCAATCCCAACTCAACCATCCCAGCCAGGGTTTGGTCAAGCTGGGACTTAAAAGCCTCTAGGGATGGAGATTCCACCCTCTCCCTAGGGAACCCATCCCAGTGCTTCCCCACCTGCCTAGGGAAATAGTTTTTCCTAATATCCAGCCTAGGCCTCCCCCACTGCAACTTGAGACCACACACTGAAAGTGAAGGCAGGGCTGGGGCTTATATTTCTGGTCCTTGTGCCAATGGAGAAAACCTTCTGAAACGATGCGGTGACGTCTCCCTGAGCCTTGACACGATAGCTCTCAGATGAATGAGCTGCTCCCTCCGGCTCTGTGGGGTGTTCGCCCACACGCCTAGGTAAATCCTTTACATGCTAAGAGTGTGTGTTGTTTGAAGGGTTACCCAGCTTTTTCCAGGACCCCACACCACTTCCTACACTCCCCAGCCACCAAACCCCCCCGCTTCTCTGTGACCGTCTCTACCAGCGAGCTGTGCATTTGCAATACAAACTTCTGCCGCACAACAACAATTAAAAATGCAGGGTGCCAGGCAGCAAATGGGATTTTCATCTCAGAGGCAGTGTGTCCAAAGGGCATTTCAGGGACAGCACCATTCCTAGGCATAGCTAATTCCAGCCTAACTCTCCATTTGCAAAGGGATCCAAAGCCACAGCTGCTAAATCTCTAGCCTCTGCAGGGTAACAGAACTGAACTTGGGACCTCTGGAGTTTAGCACATGAGTCTCTTACTGCTGCTTGAGCTAACAGCCCACTGGCACTCGATGGCTGTAGTGCACACTCATTCTCGCTCCCTAAGTGGTCTCGGTGCCTCTCCATAGGACGGTGCACCACACCCAGCAGGTGTGTGGGCTACAGCTGCAGAGAACAAGGTGCAGGCTGCAGATTGAAGGTCAGTTTGCCTCGCACAAGGTGCAGGGTGCTGGGCGTGGCTTGGAGTAGATGGGAGGGAGGAAACTTCAGGTCTTCATGCTTAGTATGACAAGGGCACCTCAAGGCCCCCGCTGAGCCAGTGGCCGAATTGTGTAGGGGGCTGCCCAGATGCACAGCCAGAGCCGCAATCCTGCAGCGTCAACAGGAAGGAGCTACAGCCAGGCGTGAAAGCAATTTCAAATTTCTTACAGGTTATTGTAAGACTTGCCTATTGCAACCCGGGGCCCTGCCAGCTCCTTCAATAGCTCCCTGCTGGGTTATGCCCAGCTCAGCTAGCTCTGGCGGGAGCTGCGCCCCGGGGCCCTACAGACCCCTGCCAGCATGGGGAAACTGAGGCCCGGAGAGATCTGGCAAGGGGAGCGCTTGAGGGCAGCCGGGGAATCCTAGAATCCCAGGGCCGGCAGAGATCTCC